CAGCATAGTGTAGAGCGGTGTTGCCGTAGATATCTGGAAGGTCTGGATCAGCACCGTGTTTCAGCAAAATAGTTGCACATTCCTCTTGTCGGCATTGTACAGCCTGTCATTTTAGACCAAGAAATAGATTACAAATGCTAGGAATTCAAAATAGAGGTTTTGCTAATGAGTTACATTTAAATGAGATGAATAAAAATGTTTATTCATAAAAATGTTTATTCTGTTGAGAAATGTGAAGTTTATGAATATTGATGAATGCTAAGTATATGATAGAATATATTGTTTGCTAGGAAGAACAATGGCAAGGAAAACCTGGCAGCATCGCCCCAACCCCAGTAGAAAACCACTTGGGGCATTCCAAAGTGGCAGGACAATATGTAAATATCATACACCTGTTAAAACAATTATTTAAGCTATCTGACCCTGCCCCAGTGGCTCCTTCATGGAGAATACTTTTTAGGTTGTTCCATCAGTGGTAAGTGGGCACCAGCTGCCTACTTGGTGTGTTTTGTGTTATGAGAAAATACTGAACACCTGTTCAGAGAGATTAACTGCATGGGTCAGAGTCTACCTGGGGCCTTCAGCCTGGAATGTTGTCAGCCCCTGAGCTTCTCAGTTTGGAAGGCTGCTGGCCCCCCAATAGACCCACTTTGCTGTTCTATCTGGGTGTCTGCCTCCCATTTCTGGGAGTCTCTACCGCCAAGCTGGTTCTCAGTAATTGTACATAATCAGATACATCTCATGCTGATGTACTTGGTTACTACATACCTTTATCAGAGCTGTCCTCTTATAGCTGTCAAAGCAATTAAGTTGACATTTTCTGTCCACCAGGAGAGCTACCACTGCTGGATGTCCACTGACACATGCCAAATGCAGAGCCGTCCTATGAGAGTAAGAAGGCTTTTTAGGAAGCTGCACTGCACTATCTGAAAACATACAATGATTCACATATATCCTTAGCACTGGATAGAATGTTAGTCCTCTGTCTTTAAAACAAGTATTTAACTTTCCTGTGAAGGAAGCACGGTATTTACCAGCTCTTATTATTCACTACATTAATGAAATGTAGCTTATTTGAATAGAAAACGCTTCGCCTCTGGATTCAGTTCACCTCCAGCTGAAATCCTACTTTAAGATCTGTCACTTTCTGTTGGCCTTTTTGGGCCTCAGTTTCCTCATCAATAAAATGGGAATTAAAATAGTAGCGGTTCACAGTGATATTCTGGGCATCACCTGTTCTTCTTGTCCCTCTTATCCACGCCAGGGCCTCCGGGCACCAGGACGCGCTCCACCCCGGGGACGTCGCCCCGCCAGGCAGCTCTGTGGAGCTCGTCGAGATCTTCCAGGTG